ATCCACATTTTTATGGCGCCCCATTGAGAAATATGATCTGATTACATCTTGTTTTTCACATATCACATCGTCGAATATGAAAATACTGTGTGGCTTCGCATCTTCCGGTTCAACAATGTCCACATTATTACTATATGTATAAAACCCCAGTCCCTTTATCGGTTCCAATACTTTCCGCAAGTACTCATACTTGGGTTGATACAACGATTTTGAATAGAGATAAACATTGGCGAATCGTAAACCATTATCGTTAGTGAGGAGGGATATCATAACATTCGTTTTGCCGCAATTTGATGGGCCGATAATGAGACTGCGTATAGTATTAGGTAGTAGGAATCCATGCCGACGTTGTGTAATTATACCATTTCCTAACCCTACTTTTTCATCGAAGTTGTCAACTCGCAATGTTTCTTGCTGCTGAACAATCTGCATTGTATGATGGTCAAATGCTATATAATGAATCGCAAACTCTGTGAATGTCATTTATATTATGAAGCTGAAGCGATACACATCGGCAAGCGATAACGGTGAAAAAAGTTTTCGAGGAAAGAGGACTGGCAGAGGATTTGTTAATACTTTAATTAATAAATTACCGGTCGAATTACATATTCCCGGCGGCTATCAGTATTGTGGTCCTGGAACAAAGTTACAGAAACGATTATCTCGAGGTGATCCAGGCATTAACCAATTAGATAGAGCGTGCAAGGAACACGATATCGCATATTTCAAGCATCCGAACGATTTATCTGCAAGGCATTCTGCCGATAAGGAATTGGAAGAATCCGCGTGGAAACGTGTTAAATCAAAGGACGCATCTGCAGGAGAGAGGGCCGCATCTTGGCTTGTTACCAATATAATGAAGGGAAAGAGGCGTTTTGGTATGGGATGCAGCAGCGGAGTGAAGAAACGTCGAGTGTCGAGGAAGAAGAAGAATACTACCAAGAGTGGGAGAAAAATTGCTTTTGGGTCCGGCATAGTGCACAAAGTTCGCAATGTGTTGCGACAAGTGGGAAAGAAGGGGGCACTCGCCAAAAACTTGGCCAAGACTTCTCTTATGGCGATTGGAGCTGCTAGAAAATTCGTCAAGATGGCTGGTGGAAAGAATAATATCCGAACACCTCGCATTATACCAATTCCTAAAGTTGGAGGAATTCTTCCACTCATACCCATTTTTGCGGGATTATCGGCATTGGGGAGTTTGGCTGCAGGTAGTGCTGGTATAGCTCGAGCTATTAATTCAGCTAAAGAGGGTAGGGAGCAACTCTCTGAAGCGAATCGTCATAATAGACATTTGGAGGCGATCGCTCTAGGAAAGATCGGTAAAGGAGTATATTTGAAGCCGTACCGAAAAGGACTGGGCATTTACTTGAAGCCGCAAAGTTCAAAAAACTAGCAGGGTTACCTCGAAGGGCGTTGACGGACATCGATTTATCACAATACATAGAGAAAATGGGTGTTCCAAACTTTCGAGGTATATTTATGAGAGATAATCTACCAAATTCTCCACCGCGCCACATAGAATCAGCCATTCTGAATCTCGATGGTATTCGAGGTAAAGGGACACATTGGGTTGCTTATAAAAAACGTGGTGGGGTAGTCGAATATTATGATAGTTATGGCGATTTGCCGCCACCCGAAGAGTTGGTGAAATATTTAAGGAGGGGATCAAAAGCTATCAAAATCGTATATAACTATGACCGTCAACAGGATTACAACACAGTCTGGTGTGGTCATTTGTGCTTGAAATTTCTCTCGTCGAAGAGTGGAAACTACGTATTATAATATGGATAGAAAAAGCATCAAACAAATGGGGCACGCATTATTGGCTTACTCGAGATTACGATCTTTGCTGAAGATGAGTGAGAAACAGCTCGCTGATATACCGAAAGAGGTTTTAATCGGATGCGCTTCACATGAGATAGCTCTAGTGTGGGATAAATTACCTGAACAATTACGCAACGATCAAGATGTATCAAAATATCGATTTTGTGAGGAGCACCACGAACACCGCCGCCAAGAGGATAGTGACCATTCCAGCGCAGATGTCAATGATGGGCCGATACCAAGAAAAATATTATGCTGCTTTTGTCAAATAGAAGATGTAAATGTGGCAACTAACAATAAATTCGATATTAATGCTTCGCCGAACGAAAACAAGAACATTCTTCATTGTTGCAGGCAGCAATAAGGTTGATACTTCTTACTACTGCTGCTGTATACACTGAAGCTTGTTGTTTGGTTTTTGCTGTGTTTGCTTTTCCAATTGTAAAAAGTTATGTCGCAAACATTCACCATTTCTGGAGATCGCAGTATCTTGAGTGCAGATTTTTTTCCACCAATCGAACTCGATGTAAGGAATACTTACGGCTTGGGGTTACACGGTTTCTATTCATACAACTCTATACTCAATATAGATGAGACAAATAACAAATTAGGTATTTGGTTCGAAGAGGGAAGCGTTGTTCTTCAGATACCACCAGGCGCCTATGAGATAGATGAAATCAATAGAGCAATACAAAAGGCTATAGAGAGTTGGACTCCA